GCCTCGGCACTTAACGGCGTCCGAACTGACGAAGTCTCCGATCCGAACCGCGGCGACAATCCAACCGAGGAGGAAGAAAACCTCCAATGGATTGAGCAGGCAGAGCGCGAGGACGAGCCGAGGAGAGAGGAGCGGAAGCGACCTCCCCAATCAAAGGGAATGACTCACGCACAAACTCTTGAACTCAAAGAGCTGCGAGCCTCGATGGCTCGTACGGTAGCTGAAATACGCGCCATGAAATCCCAAGTGCACAACGCGACAAGCGCCGCGCCCAAAATCGACCGAATGCTTGAAGAAACTCAGAGAACATTCATTGCAAGAATCACGGAGGCCAGGATCCCCGAGCCGGGGAAGGTGAGAACCCTGTTCTACAAGGAACAACCGACCCGAAGGCACACATCACAGCGTTTCGGATAGCGATGGGACGAGCCTTCACAAAGAACGCCGCTAAACTCACCGAGCGCGAAATAGATGCCGGATACTGCCTGCTCTTCGTGGAGCATCTCAAGGGAGCCGCACTCGAGTGGTTTTCGAGGCAGGAATGAAATTCAATCGGCAATTTTCAACAGCTCTCCGCTTTGTTCCTTAAACAATACACGATGTTTATGGACAGAGGAACATCTGATGCCGACCTGTGGACATTATCCCAAGGACCGAACGAACCGCTTCGGGATTACATGGCAAGATTCAAGGCAGTCGTATCCAAAATAGAAAGGATACGCGACAAGGCTGCGCTCGAGGCTCTGAAGCGATCTTTGTGGTACAAATCCGAGTTTCGAGGGGATATGGCTCTCAACACGCCGCAAACAATCCAAGACGCTTTGCACCGGTCATCAGACTTCGTCGTAAACGAGGAGGAAATGAAAAACTTGGACGAGCAGTACGAAGCAACGAAAGCGGCAATCCGAAGCTCAATTTTGCCGTGCCCCGCGAAGAAGGGCAACCCATCGAGCAACACAACAACGCAGAGCTCGGATGAACCTAGAAGCGGAGGCGCCCATAATTACCAGGTAGGCACCGGACGCGGAAGAGGAGAGCCGCGCAACAACAGTTGGGTGAGAAAGTCCGCCAACTACAACGAGAAGGCTTTCTGCGAGTATCACCAGACCTACGGGCATTCAACGGCTCAATGTCGAACTTTAGGAGCAAAGATCGCAGCAAAGATGGCAGTGGGAGAGCTCCAAAACGCGTTCAGCATCAAAGACCTCGTCCCTAATGAACAACAAGAGAGAGTCGAGCTGAGCGGCGCGGCGGAACCCGCGAATCCTCCCCGACGAGGCGATAACCCCAAGAGTGACAGGAGATGCGAACCTGAAGAGCGATCCGAGCCGAGGCAAAGGATCAATATGATCATGGGAGGATCCCAATACTACCAAGATACCGTATCCTCCATCAAAGCCTATCAGCGCCGAGCCGAAGCGAAGGAAAATTGGACAGAACCAACCGACATCCCAAATAGTCCTTCGCCGAGGAGGAAACGGCAGGAATTGATCGACCTCATAACGATCCGTTGGTAATTGAGTTAACGATCAGGGATCATGACGTAGCAAGGGTACTCATCGATACTGGAAGCTCGGTGAATGTCATCTTCAGGGAAACACTCAGAAGAATGGGAATCGACCTCTCCGAGGTCGAAGCAATCCCAAAACCTCTAACCGGATTTTCAGGAGAAACGACGATGACTATGGGAACGATCAGGCTTCCTGTGGTAGCTGGCGGAGTCACTAAGATTGTCGAATTCTGCGTCACCGATCACCCAGCAATATACAATGTGATCATGGGAACTCCGTGGATCAACGGGATGAGGGCGGTACCCTCTACATATCATATCTACCTCAAATTCCCGACCCCAGCAGGTGTTAAAACGATCTAGGGGAGTCAGAAGGAGTCACGAATGTGCTGCCTAGCCGAGCATAAGCTAAGGAACCCCGTCACCGAAGCACGAGCAGACATCGACCGCAAAAAGATGAAGACAGACCGAGAGCCCGCGAACGAGCTCTCGAAACTCTTATAGCAATTACAGATCGCGGAGAGCCGCGAAACACGCGCCGAGCCAGTATGCGATGCAGTGTACTCGGTATGTATAGATGAGGCGCGCCCGGAGCGATGCGTCGAAATAGGAACAAAACTGGAAGAGCCTCTGAGAAGCGAACTCCTTTCCCTCCTCAAGGAAAACATCAACACTTTCGCCTGGGCAGCAGAAGATATGCCAGGCATAAGCATCGACGTGACCTGTCACGAGCTGAATGTGGATCCGACCTTTAAACCAGTGAAGCAGAAAAGAAGAAAGCTCGGCCCCGAACGAGCCAAAGCAGTTAACGACGAAGTCGAAAGATTACTCGCCGAGGCCAAATATCCGGACTGGCTCGCAAATCCGGTGGTCGTGAAGAAGAAGAACGGCAAGTGGCGAGTATGTGTGGATTTTACCGACCTTAACAAGGCGTGCCCAAAAGACAGCTTTCCCTTGCCACACATAGACTGTTAACATTTATGGATGCGTTCTCTTGCTACAATCAGATCCTAATGCATCCTGATGATCGAGAAAAAACAGCATTCATAACTGATCGCGGGATATACTGCTACAAAGTCAAGCCGTTCGGGCTCAAGAACGCAGGAGCAACGTATCAACGGCTCATCAATAAAATGTTTGCAGCTCAGCTCGGAAAAACTATGGAGGTATACATCGACGACATGTTAGTCAAATCACTCAAAGAGGAAGACCACGTCGCGCATCTACGGGAATGCTTCGAACAATTGAACAAGCACAACATGAAACTAAACCCGGCAAAGTGCAGGTTCGCGGTCACCTCGGGAGAATTCCTCGGCTATCTGGTAACTCACCGAGGCATAGAAGCAAACCCCAAGCAGATCAAAGCTTTAATTGAGATGCCCTCTCTAAGGACGAAGCGCGAAGTGCAGAGGCTCACAGGAAGAGTCGCCGCGCTAAACAGGTTTATTTCCCGTTCCACAGACAAATGCCTGCCCTTCTACGACACCCTCCGAGGAAACAAAAACTTTGAGTGGGACGAACGATGCGAGACGGCTTTCCAGGAATTGAAGGATTATTTGGCGAGCCCACCAATCTTAGCAAAACCAGTCGAAGGAGAACCACTCTTCCTCTACATCGCAGTGTCTGCTACAGCTGTAAGCGGAGTGCTTATCAGAGAAGAACGATCCGAGCAAAAGCCCATTTTCTACATCAGTCAGACATTGAGCGACGCCGAGACTCGCTACTCCCAGATCGAGAAGGTTGCCCTAGCCGTCGTAGTCTTGGCTCGGAAACTGTGCCCGTACTTTCAATCACATTCGATTGTTGTGCTCGCTACGCTTCCACTGCGCTTGATCCTACACAGCCCTAGCCAATCCGGTCGGCTCGCCAAGTGGGCCATAGAGCTAAGCGAATACGACATCGAGTATCGGAACAGGTCGTCTGCAAAGTCACAGGTGCTCGCAGATTTCCTCATTGAACTTCCCGTCGAAGCAACAAACAAGCCGACACTAGACGAAGTGTGGACGCTGCACGTCGACGGCTCGTCGTCTAAACACGGCTCGGGAATAGGAATCGGCCTCACTTCTCCCACCGGAGAAATATTGGAGCAATCTTTTTGCCTGAACTTCCACGCCTCGAACAATGAAGCGGAATACGAAGCACTGATCGCCGGCATACGATTAGCGCAGGGAATTGGAGTTCGAAAGATAAGAATCTTTTGAGATTCACAGCTCGTAGCATGTCAGTTCAACGGAGAATACGAGGCGAAGGATGGACGAATGGGAGCTTACCTCAAAGTGGTCCGAGAGTTGGTGCAAAAATTCGATGAGTTCGAACTCACTCGCATTCCCCGAGGAGAAAACACCTCGGCCGACGCATTGGCAGCACTCGCTTTGACCTCGGACCCAGACCTCCAGCGAACGATCCCAGTCGAATTCATTGAACGTCCTAGCATCGAAGAGGTGGAAGGAGTTCGGCTGATAAATCCTCCTGAACAAGAACCAGAGGACGACGAAGCCTTTCCTATGGACGAAGACGCCTCAGCGGCCGAGCCGGAGTACGGCTGCGACAAAGAATGGCTCGGAGCTATCCGAATGTATATCGCCGATGGAGAGGTGCCAACCGACAAATGGGAAGCCCGCAAACTAAAAGCTCAAGCCGCGCGGTATGTCCTCGTCGATGGCGATGTGTTTAAGTGGAGATTTTCAGGGCCTCTCATGACATGCGTCGAAGGACCGGAGGCAAGAAAGATCATGCACGAGGTGCACAGCGGCGCGTGCGGGAACCATTCCAGCGGAAGGTCGCTCGCTATCAAGATTAAACGGCACGGCTACTTCTGGCCCACGATGGTCAAAGACTGCGAGAAATTTACAGCGAAGTGCGAGAAGTGTCAGCGGCACGCTCCAACAATTCATCAACCCACCGAGTTGCTCTCGTCAATTTCATCACCTTATCTGTTCATGAGATGGTCGATGGACATCGTCGGACCTCTATATCGCTCGAAGCAGAAGCGTTTCCTGCTCGTCCTAACGAATTACTTTTCCAAATGGGTCGAAGCCGATTCCTACGCAAGCATAAAGGATGTTCAAGTCGAACACTTCGTCTGGAAAAATATCATCTGCCGACACGGGGTCCCCTACGAGATAGTCACCGACAACGGATCCCAGTTCATCTCAACACGCTTCGAAGCCTTCTGCGAGAAGTGGAAAATCCGCCTCAGCAAATCTACGCCAAGGGTTTAGCCGAAGATTCAAAGCAGGGGAGCTCGTCCTCCGGAAGGTCTTCCAAAATACTGCCGAGAAAAACGCAGGAAAGGTCATAAAAGTGGTTCGTCCAGGAGTCTACGAACTCGCGTCACTAGCTGACGAGGCGATTCCAAGATCATGGAACGCAATGCACCTGAAGAAATACTATCACTAAGGATACATCACGACCAACACGAACTACAGGACGGCTTGATCCCTGCAAAGGGTACGTAGGCAGCCCGTCCTCGGACGGGTTCAGCTGTCCCCCCTCCTAAAAAGGGGGGAGAGTGGGTACGTATACATACCTCTTTTAACTCTACAATTTTAGCTTGCTCACTTAGGAACATCGCCACTTCGGCACATTCTCAGTTCGTTTTGAACCATCTACTTATTTCACGTCTGTTCATTATCGCTTCGGCTAGTTTCTCATTCCTTCTAAATCAGCAACTAATTTTAACAAGCTCAGATTTTTAAATTCTTTCACTCATCACTTCGGCATGATATCATGACCTGATTACCTCGGACCTTCGTTGGTCCTCAGTTTCAGTTCGGCAAACTAAGCCTCCGAACGCCTCGTCTCGTTGCTGGCCACAATGGGGCAACAAATACAAAGTTCTCTAAACGGACTTTTACCACCTTTCCTAGGACGAGGGTGCAAGTTATATCCTCTACGGATAAAAATGAAGCGCGCTATACAAATATCAGACCAAAAACGTATCAGGTCGTCATGGTTTACTATTGCACACGAGATTATAAGTCGAGACTACATCGCTTTCTCTAAAACCAAAGTAAACTCTTGAAACCCGGACAAGCCTACTCATCCTCTCGGAAACGCCGGTCCATAGTCAAATTCAATGAGACTACTAAATCATCCTCGGTTAACAAAAACAAAAACAAAACGCCTCGTCGTTTACACGGCTCGGCACCACCCAATGAGAAAAACGCCTCGGCGTTTACACGGCTCGGCACCACGCAAAAAGAAAACGCCTCGTTGTTTACACGGCTCAGCACCATGCAAAAAGAAAACGCCTCGTCGTTTACACGGCTCGGCACCATGCACAGCAAAAACGCCTCGTCGTTAAATACGGCTCGGCATTGCCCGCAAAAGTTTGCCTCGACGTTATCACTTAAAAACTTTCTAGCATCATCTAAACTCCCAGCTCGAGATTGAGAATCCAAACGAGATCATTAAAAACAACTCAACCCTTAGCCCGTATTTCTACCGATTTCGAAGAATTTGGTTAAGGAAGCAATCAAAATTATCTCGACACAGCAGTTTTCATCCTCGACAATTTTCTTTAAGCCAACGTTTTTCACAGATATTTTACACAAATCGTTAAAAATAAGTGCATCAAATCCTAAAACGGCTAAGGAAAAAAGAATATATCCATAAATGTCGGGTGGATAAAGCCGTCCAGGCACTGGTTACATAAAAGAGTTCAGAAAACAGATAAAAATCCTAAGTACAGGAGCATGAAAGACAAAACAGGGAAAAGCAGAGAGTATCAGGCCGCAGACTGCGTTTCACGCTCGGCGAGGAGGTTTGAGAGGACCAGCGTGCCCGCGTTTGATCCGTTCGGATCTACGACGCCTAAGTTGGCCGATGTCTCTTCGAGCGGCTCGTTGCCAAGGGTGGTGTCGACCGAGTCGGGCGATACGGGAGAGTAATACAACTCGCCTCGAATCTCGGAAGCAATACGCTCGTACGCCTCGTCGTCGGCATACTCACTCTCCCAGCTTTTCAGCTTCGCCTCCTCATCGTCAAGCGTCGGGGCGTCCGGCTTCTTCAGGTCGGCAATCATCGCAAGATTGCCCTTGATCTGCCCCAGATCGTTCTCATCATTTTTGGCCTTCTCAAGCCTGACCAAACCCTCCTCCACCTTGGCGAGGCGTTCCTGAAACTTCGCCGTAAGCTCTCGCCTCGCCTCCTTTTTTGCCCTCTTAACCTTGGCATCGAACAAGGCGTCCTTGGCCTCGATACGCCTCTTCAGCATCGCCACCTCGGCGCTTTTAGCTCTCCTCGCCTCCTCGAGGCGAATGACCGAGGCAGAGACCTTGTCAACGTTGGCGCGCAGAACGATCTTCTCCTCTTCCAGCTTGGACACTTGGGTCATCGCCTCGATGAGTTTCCCCTTCGCCGCCGCGGCTTCGTTTTGCGCCCCTTCCAGTTTCACCTTTGACGCCGCGGTCTCATTTCAGGCCTCGTCCAAACGACGCTCGACCTTCGACAGGTCCGCCTCATACTCGGCCATCAGGTCGTTAATGGCCGCGACAAACTGCAGAGAACAAACCTGCGTTAAACACTTCGTAAAATTTGCGAAAATAAAAGAAAGCAGATAGAACGTACCTTGGTACCGCGCTGCGCCATCGCGCCGTATGACCTCAGCCTCCTCAGCTTCTCCGGAGGAGGAAGACGCGTGTTCGCGATATTTACACGCGAGAACATGACGGCAGAAGCGTCGGGGTCGTCAACAACCAACTTACGCTCGTCCTTCTGAATGGCGACGCCCTTCCCCTTGTCGGTAGCCGAACGTTTTCGGCTAGAGTCATGCTTCTGAACAACCGAAGTCGGTGGCCTCGTCGACTTTGGGAGGGCCCGGTTCCACCTCGGTCGCTGCATCTTTCTCAGCCGCCTCGGCAGTGTCGCCTTCTGCAGCTCGGACCATTATATCTCCTTCCCGGCTCGGCGGGTCGGGTTGAAGGACGGCCTCGGCTTGCTCTGAAACCGCCTCGGCTTGCGCTGGAACTGCCTCGGTTTGCACGTGAGCCGCCTCGGCAGCTCGTCTAGCGGCTTCCTCTTCCTCGCGCCTCTTTCTTTCTCTGAGAGCGATTATCACCATTTTCTCCCGGGTATCTCTTGAAGAACTTGAGGACGAAGAGCTGACGGGGACTCCGGCAAGGATGGTTCGCGCTTTTTCTACTCTTTCGAGGGTGAAGTTCTTTCTCCAATTAACCTTAGCGCCAAAAGAGAGTCTCGAACGGTAAAGAGGCCGTCGGGAATCGGGGGAAGAAAGCACCGAACTGCAAAACAAAGCAAAAAGGAAAAATTTGCAGAAAAGGAAGAAGATGCCAAAAATAGTTCCGAGCCGAGGCAAAGCTTCGGGTCGGCTACCAAGTGGTCCCCAAGCGGTCTTGGTTCTTTAAACGTAATTCTTGCCGACCGACGCCTCGTTCACCAAGACGTAAAAGAAGCGTTCGGTCCAAAACTGATCCTTGCTGGGAAAACCGCCGATGATCCGTCGCTTCGCCTTGTTGGAAATATAGAATCTATTTCCCTTCGGAGCTTTCCTGACTTCCAGCAAGTTCAGCAGGTGATTCAGCTCGATATCAATTCCGCATTCAAAGATTTGAACTAAGATGCCGATCATATGCCGTAATCCCCTCGGCATGATTTGCCCAATCGAGATCCCGTGCTTCCAGAGATATTTGAGGATCACTCCGGGGATCGGGAACCAGAGGAAGCAAAGCTCGAAGAATGCCTTGTACAGAGTGAAATGATTCTCTGGAGGGTTGTCGGCTCGGTCGCTCTTCTCTGGAACGACGAACTCCACCGCCTCGGATATCCCGAAGCGATGCCTCAACGCCTCAAGCGACTCAAGGGAGCAGAGTGTAGATCCAGGCGGGTCAGGTTTTTGTCTCTTAACTCTCTGCCCTCGCCCAGATGTGGAAGCGCCTCGGGACGCCATGAGACGTTCCAATTCAAGCTTCGCCTCGAAAAGGTCAAAGGGAAATGCCTCCTCCTCGGCCTTGAGTGCGGCGCGGTTAATGTCCTCATCAGGAACAAGATCTTGGGGACGGCTCGTCGAAACCGACGGCTCGCCATCCAGAGAGCAGACATTTGATGGGCTTGCATGGTTTGACGCTTCGTCAGATGAGCGATTGGAGGGGCTCGGCGAAACAGACGCCTCGGAGGATTCCGCCGTACCTCTCGCCTCAGCATCTACGCGGCTCAGCTCGTAATGAAAAAGTGAATCCAACGAATCGTCGAAGCAGCTCGGAAACCCTAGCCGGAAAATAAATAAACTAGAGAGAGAAAGAAGAGAGAAGGGAGAGCTACCTTTAGTAAAAACGAGTGAGTCTGATGATAATGAGGAAGAATGAAGGAGCTCACCCATTTATAGGAAAACCGAAGCGCGTGAATTCCGCGTAAACCTCGGGAAACCTTCCAAACAGCGCGTGGAATCCGCAGTGAAATGGCTAGATCGAATTGCGTCGGTCGCACGCGCCAATAAATCAGGAATCTTCTCTCGGAAGACCGTCGGTCGCACGCGCCAATAAATCAGGAATCTTCTCTCGGAAGACCAACAGTTGGGATATCCAAGTTTTCATCCGGTGTCTGACCAAAGAAAACGCCTCGTCGTTAACGAAACGGCTCGGCGCTAACTCTTGCTCTTGAAACGCCTCGTCGTTAACGAAACGGCTCGGCGCTAACTCTTGCTCTTGAAACGCCTCGTCGTTAACGAAACGGCTCGGCGCTAACTCTTGCTCTTGAAACGCCTCGTCGTTAACGAAACGGCTCGGCGCTAACCCTTGCTCTTGAAACGCCTCGTCGTTAACGAAACGGCTCGGCGCTAACTCTTGCTCTTAAAACGCCTCGTCGTTAACAAAAACGGCTCGGCACGAACTTTCCTCGAAACGCCTCGCCCTTTGTTCGGCTCGGCATAACCTTCTCAAATCGCCTCGGCTCATCATTACCAAACAAAATCGCCTCGTCCTTAAACTTGCCTCGGCACCCTCGGCACTCCCTGGAAACGCCTCGGCGTCATCATTCCCAAAACACCTCATCTGGGCTTATGTCATAACAGCTTGACTCGATGGTTTATCCTACGGTCAGGAATAATGGACCTCGTCACTCTCGCCTCCGAAACTGACGAGCTGGGGGCTAACTGTTGGGGTCGGTTTTCACCCCACGTAGATAAGACCATCTCAAAAATGACTAAGTAAAGAAGAAAGACAAATGGAAGAGCCGTTCTCACCAAGACAAGTGGGAGAGCCGTTCTCACCAAGACAAGTGGGAGAGCTGTTCTCACCAAGTGGGAGAGCCGTGAAGATAGGCCAGTAGGGAGAGCCGTGAGGAAAAAAGAGATGGGCCGAGCCGTATCACAAGAAATGGGTCGAGCCCCTCTCCAACACGCCTGGGCCGAGCCGCGCTTCGGTGAGGTGGACCAGCTCACGTCTCGACTCAAATGGCAAACGTCCCGAGCCGTGGAGAATTTTAGATGGGCCGAGCCGTGGAAGAGCTTAGATGTCCCGAGCCGTGGAGAAGCTTAGATGGGCCGAGCCGTGGAGAAGGAGAATGATGGGCCAAACCGTGGCCTTGGGAGACGAAGCCCATAAAAACCCTAGGCGAAATACAAGGGCGGTGAGCCGCACGAGGCGATAAGGAAATATTCCGAAAATCTCTCCCGAGATTCTCGGCTAGGCGGTTTAGAGAGTTAGTATAAATAGACGATGTATACAATTCATTCGGGAACTTTTGCAACCCTAAGCAATAAGAGCTAAACACTTTTACAGCAAGAAAAACTTTCTTTCGATCTTACTGTTCTTGACGATAAACCTTAGAAGTTTCTGATCCCTTAGTTTTCCTTAAACAAATTTCTGGTTGTACGAGTTTTGGCTCACACAAATGGGAAATTTAAAGATTGTTAATCCGGATGGCACAACTGTGGTGTTAACAGAGGTAAGATACATGCCTACTATGGGTAGAAACCTGATATCATACGGTCAGTTAGAGAAGAATGGTTGCAGCTATGAAGGTAAAGATTTCAGTGTGACATATTTCAATCAAGGGACGAAAGTGATTTTAGGAAACTACAAAGATGGTTCGTATTATCTGGAATGGTCAACTGTGGATGGTAAAGTGTCAATAGCAAGGGCTGAAGTAAATCTTACCAACAAGTGGCATTAAAGGCTGGGACACATGAGTTTAAAGAACATGAATCTTCTGGTCAAAGAAGGATATCTGAGTTCAAAGGAGGTTCACACGTTGGATTTCTACGAAGAATGTGTTCTACGAAAATCCTACAAGTTAAGTTTTCCTACTGGTAAACATACATCATCAGATATTTTCGAATATGTTCACAGTGACTTCTGGGGTTTCAGCTGCAAATGCTGAGAGCTTATCAGGCTGCAAGTATTTTCTAACACTTATTGACGATCAATCAAGAAAAGTCTGGATCAGATTTCTTAGGGGTAAAGATGAAGTGTTTGAAAAATTTTCAGAGTGGAAAGTGCTTGTTGAGAATCAGACAAGAAAAAGGATTAAATGTCTACGAACATATAGTGGTCTAGAATTCTGCAACACTCAAATGGACAAGTTGTGCAAGGATTCAGGAATTCGAAGGCACACGACTTGTTCATACACTCTGAAACAAAATGGGATCGCAGAAAGAATGAATAGAACTATTGCTGACAATATAAGGTGTATGCTGGTAGAACTATGTTGGAAAAGAGATTTTGGGCAGCTGCAGCTGCTACGGTGGTTTACTTGATTAACATAACTCCAAATGCTTCATTGAAGTTCAAGATACCAGAAGAAAAGTATTCATTGGACAAGAATCATACACGGGATATTGTTGACAGACCTATTAAAAAGAAGATCGTCGGGTGTAAATGGATTTTCAAGTTAAAAGAGGGAATTCCAGGTGTAGAATCACCAAGATACAAGGCGAGGCTTATAGCTAAAGGTTTTACCCAGGTGGAAGGTATATACTACAATGACATATTCTCACAGTAGTTAAACAAGTATCCATTCGGATTATGTTGTCGGTTGTGGTCAATTTTGACATGGAGCTGGAGCAGCTAGATGTTAAGACTACGTTTTTGAATGAGAAGCTTGATGAGGTAATCTACATGGAACAATCAGAAGGTTTTATCTAGAAAGGTCAAGAAGGCAAGGTTTGCTTATTGAAAAGACCGCTCTATGGACTGAAACAGCCACCGAGGCAATGGAACCAAAGGTGTAATATGTTTATCAAGTCTCAAGGGTTCAGGAGGTGTGTTAAAGATCCGTGTGTCTACTACAGGGGATCAAAAATAAAGGAAAATATCTATTTGCTACTCTATGTAGATGACATGCTGATAGTAGCCAAAGATATGAAAAAGATCAAGATTCTTAAGGAAAGTCTGAGCACAGAATTCGAAATGAAGTATCAAGGTCCAGCTAATAGGATACTTGGGATGGATATAGTTTGAGATAGAAGCAAATGAACTTTGAAATTGACACAGGGAAGATATTTGAAACAAGTTTTGAGGACATTTAACATGGAAAACTGTAAAGCAGTAGTGACTCCTGTGAATTCTCAGTTTAAGCTTAGAAGTCTGACTCAGGAAGAATGGAAAACAGAGGCTAAATTAATGGAATCAGTTCCCTATGCTAGTGCAGTGATAGAATCAAGGCCTGATTTGGGATTCGCCATATGCTGGTCAGCAGGTTCATGGCTAAACCGGGAAGGGATCATTGGGCAGCAGTTAAATGGGTGTTACAGTATCTTCAGGGTGCAGTTGGTTTGGGACTTACGTTTACTAAGTCAGAAGTGTTTGAAACAGAAGGCTCCAGCGGTTCAGATTATGCCACTGATCCAGACAAAAGGAGATCAGTGACAGGGAATGTTTTTCAATTAGGTGGGAACACTGTTAGTTGGAGAGCTACATTGCAACATTTAGTGGCATTATCCACTACGGAGGCAGAGTACATGGCTTTATCTGAGGCTACTAAGAAGGGGTTGTGGTTAAGAGAATTCTGCAATGAGTTAGGATTCGATTTCGAGTCTTTTAAATTGAATTGCGATTCTCAAAATGATACTTGCTTAGCTAAAAATGCAGTGCATCAAGACATCACTAAGCATGTTTGCTACTAAGATTCATAGACGAGGGGTTGGTTCAAGTACAAAAGATTCATACTACAGCAAATCCTGCGGATATGCTTACTAAGTGCTTATCTGGCAAGGCGTTTGAGAGGTGTCTCAATCTTCTTCAGGTCATAGCTTGATCTCTTGGAGATGCGCCGTGTGATAGTCTTTTTGGTTGGATCATCTCACAGAAGGACAAAGGAGAAACGGTGTCAGTTTCTTAAAGGTAACCAACAAGGGATTTCCTAAACACTATTCTGGTAAAGCAAAATGTCAGAAAAGGAATACGATTCTGGTGATAGTAATCTTACCTGGTGCGACATAAGAGTATGTTGTATTCTCGTATTTCTTCAAGGAACATCTCTCGTGGAGCAGAGAAGAGAGGTAAAGAGAAGAATCAGAGTTCTTTTAAAAACTCAAATGAAAAAGGAGTAAAGTCTAAGAGGTTCATCGGTGAAGAAGAATCTAAAGAGTGACTTACTTGAGGTTAAATTGGGCTTGATGGAGGCTGGACAAAGCGGAAGCGTGAACACCGGTAGAGGAAGAGACGCCAAAGCTGAGGTCAGGATCAATTCGACTGGGTCTCACGGTCGTGTAGCTGCGATGACAAAGGAGCTTACATGACTGAGTGGTGATGGCAGCTAGGGTTTGTGGTTCGGACAAAAGAACGACAAAGGTGGAGATTTAAGAGATTGTTGTCATTATAGGTCTTTGGCTAAAAGGAAGATGGGCTCAGTTGGGCCTTACCTGGAAAAGCGCTGGCCCAAGTTAAAATATATAAAGTCAACACCATAGGTCAACTTCTTCTTCTATGCCACAAGAACGAAACAGAGTATTGAGGCAGAGGCAGCGAGAGAGATAGAGATTACCTAGGTGGTGAAGCTTCAGGTGTTCTCCAGCAAGGATTGACGGTTGTTCAGTTCTGATGTAGCTCGCTAGAAAATTCTTATCTGCTTGTGTTGGTACTAGCTGTGATCAAAGATACAAGTTGGTCAGATTACTTGTATTACTCGAGTCATAGTAAAAGCAAAGTGGTTTTGTTCCACTCCCAAACGTACTTAACGGGAACTGGGTCAACAAAGTGTGTGTCTCTTAGTTTCTAAATTCCGCAAAAAAAACTAAGTAAAACATCAACCTTGAATTGAATCTAGATCATAACTGGGACTTATAAAGATAAGACTAAATCTTTACATATAACAGTGAAACGAGATTCCATTACTGAGGATAATTGCAAGCAAACCAATATAAACAAATGATTTATCTCTCATATCGTGCGAGAGAGAGGGAAAAGTGTCACGGCCCAATTCTAGCCCAATTAGCCTTGGATCATCTTAAGCATAATAAACTGGATCAAAGGGGTTTATCGTAACGCATGTGTTCCGGGATATTCTTACCAGACGAGAAGATGGTTAAGGACAGTAGGAGTTGCGCAAAAAAAAGGCTTAACTGAGGATAGAAGCGTTAAGGAGCTGTAACAACCCCATCAACGCTTGCCTTCTAGCATAATGCCACATCTTCTTCTAAGTCAGTAAGAGCGACTTTAACTCCTTTCTGTCCATTATGGTGGTTAAGTTTTCCCGACTCTAGACTGAAGAGTTGGATTTTAGATAGAGAATTCACAAACTGAGAAAGAAAATGAAGTGGATAT